ATCAAAAATGACGCAGGACCACCGACAGCCTACGGACTACCGAAGATACACAAGGAAGGAAATCCTCTAAAACTAATAGTCATCAATAAGCATGGAGCAATACACAAACTAGCGAAATTCATTTGCTTGAAAAGGGGTATATTGAAATGTAAGAATGGATAAATAACCGACATTATACGTATAAATTTTTCAGATGACAATTATTATGGAGCTGACGCAACTTGGAAGCGAAACCTCATCACAGAGACGGAAAACATCAGCTTCAAATGCGTCAAGCCTATTCTTTCATGCATTTTTATTTCATTGGCTGTTCTTGATCGGGCCTCTGCAAATTCTCTTGGAAATAGGAATTGAATAAAATTCTTTTAAAGCCTGTAGCAACTTTCCCGCTCTCTCCAGCTCTCTCAGAGTTCTAACTGTATTCACATTTTCAGAGGATGTAAAATTCAAGAAGGTATGACATATTTTTCTGTGACAGCCTCCTTTCGTGATATTTAACTTGCTTGACCTCTCCACCAAGCTTATCATGCCATGTCAGTCAAGTGTTGGCTCTTCACTATTATTAGTTATTTCGAAAAATACTTTAAAAATTGAATGTGACCGGACTTTTAAGTAAGAAGAATAAATGGATTAGAACGGTTTTGTGAATTAGCTACACCAAAAACCGAAAGAGTACTTCTGAAATAACAAATCTAGTCCCGTAATTAAATATTGCCACTATTTTTGCTAACTTCGACTATGAAAATGTTGGAGAACACGATTTCTAGAGTGACAAATTCAACAGGTTAGAATACGAGGCCAAACTGGCACCATAATTCCTAATAATGTTGAAGTAACTTTTCTTCATCGATAGCTTCCAGTGCTCCTAACGCCCTCCTATCACTTAACTTGTGCCTCCATTTATTTTTAACCTTTTCAGCCTTTAGATACTTCTCAAATAACACCACTTAGGTTTGGTATCGTAAAAGTATTTTTTTCGTGTTGGCCTTTTAGCATTAGTGATTTTTCATTATGATTTATTAAGAATTCTATTTTACCTATTTTTATCTCTTAAAAACCTAATCAGACTTGAGCTTTTTGGTCCTTTATAATGAATTATCAATACTTGTGAGCAAACCCAACTAGTTAAACTTTTACGCTGCGCACCAAAACTGTCTACAGGGTTTTTTTTAGCCTAGGTCGATGGATTTCATCTTCTTCCTTTAAGACGGCCAGTCATCAAATCTTATTAACCTAAAATTATATAAAAGGGGGTTGACCTCGTTTTCGCAACTTGGTCTTGTGTCAGGGCAAATTAGTTGAGCGCAACTTGTCCGAAGTTCTCTGCCATAGTAGTACTCATAATTCCCAACCTCAAACCATGGACTTGGTACATTCTCAGACGGTTTGCCGGCATAGTAGCCAGCATCATCAATGAGTCTTTGCATACTTCGAAGAGACAAAGAGACAAGACGTAGAATGGCAAGATTTACTGGTGATGCCGACTAAGATGCAGGCGAAACGTCTGAGAATGTACTAAGTCAACGGTTTGATGCTGGGATTTATGATAACTACTATAACAGATGACTTCGGACAAGATGCGTTCAACCAAGTCGCCCTGACAACAAGACCAAGTTGCGAAAACAAGATCAACCCATTTCTATAAATCAAAAGGAGACTATGACCATACCGAGGGCAACACCATCTTGGTCTTCATATCTTCTAGAAATATATAGCTTAAATATTCTTTACTTTCAGGCCTCTACTACCGTTGCGCCGTCCGTTGCGCTGGCTGTCAGGAGCTCACTTTCCATGGCGAATGGCTGACGCCAGAAGAAGTGCAATTACACAAATTACGAAAATGTCCAGTCTGCGGAGCTAAGGTGCCAAGCAGCCATCTGGCGCCCCCAAAGAAAGGTATTCAGTATAAATTGAATTATTGAGCTTATTTCCATTTCGAATGAAAGTGTTGGGTGAAGAGATTCGAAGGTCGCTTTCACCAGAAGACGACGGCGGATTCCTCTTGACCAGCTGTCTATTGGCTTTACCGAGCTGACGCTCTTTCCGAGGCAATCTCCTTCGATTCCGGTGAAAAGGTGCTAAGTTTTCGTCGTCATATGACGAACATCATCAGAGCAAGGTATCATTGTGACAACAAAATTCAAGCTAACGAGTCAAGAAAATCCACCGTTAAATTAATTGAAATCACATGCTGTTTTAAAATAACTATGAATCAAAATCAAAATCACTTGAATTGTGCAGATTAAAAAGTGCAATAATGGCAGGTTTTAATCATTCTTTGAATGTAATTATTATCACCGATTATAAGTAGTAGTGGCCGGAATTGTAAGCTTATTTATTGCAATCTACATAGATTCCACCCTACCAGAAGGCAAAACTCATTCGAGTGTTGAGGGCTGGGGTGTAATTATGTTGATTTTATAATTCAAAACTATATATTGCTCAAATAAACAGAATTAGTTGCCAATCATATAACGACGATTTATTGCTCTCATGAGCACAGAGGGCAGAAGACCGCACAGTTTGCTCCCAGCGATACGGGCTCTTGTGTGAAAATATTAGCTTGTAAATAGGATTTCGAGACTATCAGTAAATCTGATATATTAGATGAGTTCGGTAGAATATTGATAAAATTCCATCACTGGAAGGCCTTAACAGTAAAATTCTACTGATTAATCAGGCAGCGTTTCAAAAACTTTGGGTCCAAACCAACTAAACCTAGGAAAATACTAATCTCTTGGGGTATCAGGTATCATTTATTTCCGGGCCTATTCTAGAATTTACAAAGTGCTATAAAAGCTTCGGAAAATGCTTCAGAGCTTTGGTATTTTATTGCCCATTATAAATGAAATCAAAATGGGGCTGGATTTTCACTTTGATATTTTATTCGGAATAGCTACAAAAAACCTTTTCCAACCAAGTTGGACTACAGTCATAAACTCGCCTGATCTTCTGGTCGCTTTGTTAATGTCCTCGGAAGTATTCAAACCATGGACGGGTGGGTTGAGAGGTAAGTACGCAGGCCCCTAAACCACATAAGCATAGGCGCATTGGTCTAGACTACAAGCATGGCTTACATAAAACGCAATCCGTTTTCGAATGAGTTCATTCGTGATGTAATTTATGTGGGTAGGCAACCATGTGTATTGGAGATTTTGGAGTTCCTAATAGGTTTGTTTACCATCTATCAGGATCCTGGTTGTTGTAGAGTTGTAAGAGATTTAGGATACACGGAGAAGTAAAATTGACTTTAAAATTAAACCATCCTCTTAATTACTATTGGATATATTAGTTATCATTTCCTTATATTATCCAGTCTAAATTGAGACCACCCAATTGTAATCAGGCCCTTGGAAACTGTGAAAAAACTGTTATTAACTCCGAAATCAGTATCAGAGCGAATGCAATGGTAGACACAAAATTTTGCGTCTAATGTGCGAGTTCAGCTGAGGAGTCTGGCGAAGTGATGATACTAAGTCACAACTACGGTCCATCATGTTATTAGAAGGGTTATTGATAAGTTTAATGCAAACACCAAACCTCCTCTTCAATTCCCCGTAGGAATACTCGCTTTCTTTATATTACGTTTCTTATTTCAAATAGATATGCTTTGATGGAAATCAGCCTCGTAATAGCGTCGAAACCACACTGTTACTAACGGCAGATATGATGTTGCTGCCGAAAAATTGTCATACCATATTTCAAGATCTGAAAATTTTAGCTAACCTTTTTAGTTTACATTTACTTTTTCCCCAAAACGGTACTCTGTATTTCGGAGATGAACAAAGTGGCTAAATCTTTTGCATTAAATTGATACATAAATAGACTGAGGACTCGTCGAGCCCAACTTATTTTCACACAAGGCCATTAGCACTGTCCAAAAAGTCATCAAACCAGATAATTTGGCTAAATAAGATTACCTCGACATGTCAACAAACAGGGAGCATACAATTCCAGTTTTCCTTATCTTAAAATAGCATTTTTCTCTCTTCTTCATCACTTGTTTATTTAGATGCTGACATAAAACTCTGGAAGAGGGACTTTAAAAACCGACTTATCTCAAGACATCCTAAGACCGCAGTAGAGAAAACGGTCACAACACGTGAAGCGCGCAGCGCTCAAAAGATGGCAACTAAAAAGTACACTGGCGCTGACTAAAGATTCCATGAACTTTTGTTTTCCTGTACCGTCACGTTAATTGACTTTTTATTGTATTGGTCTTCTTGAGCTCTTATAAAGTCATTGTTGCACTGGCAATTACAAACTAGAGCCAGATAGACGGCTCATAAACACTCGGAGGACTGTCTGGTAAAAAAGGCTGTTGCATCCAATTAGCAAACGTTTATTTGAGCAATTTACTAAAAGTACTCCATAAACTTGCAAACCTCTGGACGAAGTACCATTTTTGCTGTTTTTTTGGAGTTTTGTTCATGACTTGCTGTTCGAGGCTAATAGTGCAAAGAAAAGTGCCAAAACAAAAGGTTTTAACATGATAGATCATAAAATATCCGGTACGAGAATTTTTCAAGTCTTACCACTTCTTTGGTAAGAACCTTCTACCCCTATTTAAGGAATGATAGTGGAGATTTTTCCAGAGTGATTTAAAGTCGCGACTTTAAAGTCGCTAAGGTCTCGTCAGTACATCTAACGAGCTTAGAAACTGGACGTGAGCCTCATCGAGACATATACAAGTGGTCTGACCTCGTTTTCATAATTTGTTCGTGTTGTCAGGGTGACTCAGTTGAGCTCACCTTGTCCGAAGTCCTCTGCTACAGTAATTATGATGATTCCCAGCCACAACATCTGTTCTTCATACCTTCTCAAGGAGACAGTTTAACACTTCATCGCTGGTACCATAAGTCAGAGAACAAGGTTTACTTTAAATGCAAGGCAAATATTTTCAAAGTCACACCTATAGTGTGATTAATGATGAGATAAAGGAAGTTCTTATTCATAGATCGCCAAAGGTTTTGAACAATTGGCCTTATCGAAAAACGAAAGAATATTACATTCTATTTGTACGAATTAGTCTTCGGCGCAATCCTACTCCTCCGATTTATCCGTATCGAGTTATTGTATGCCCCGCCGTAACAGACATCATCATAGGGGTAAACCATTATTTATGAAAATTAATTAAATCACAAAATCAAGAAAGATGGCAGACTGAAATGCCTATTATTTCTTTAAATAAATTCTGCCATCTTGTCTAGACGTCTCATTGGAATATGCTGCCGTCTTCTGGTGCGATCGATCCTAACACCACATTTACATACAACACTGGTAAACCAAGAAATTTATCGAAACCAATTTTATGTCACAGATACAACTTAATGTATGGTCTTTGTTTTTTACTTATAAACTACTCATAAATAATCCATTCACACCACGCAAATGCGACCACGCACCTGAGCACGGTTCAACATTGCAAAAGAATACGCTAGATAATTTGTGCTAGGAAGTAGTTGGAACAATCTTCATATCCTCTTCTTGCATAAACTTCACTCATATGCATACGTTCAAGGCAAATACTAAGTAACCAACCTAAACATGAATTATTAAGATAGAAAAGTAGGTTTAAGAAAAAGGAAGGACACTAGTTAGCCAGTTTTATTGGCTTAGTAAATTAATGAATGTTCGTAAATGATGGTTTCATCCTATGCCAATGTCTATCACGGCGAGAGAAAGAAAGGTTTCGTACGAATGGATCGCTGATATAAGACGGTGTGCTGAGGCCTTATTAAACAAATCCACGATCATAGCTTCAAGGCAATCTCTCTTAGCCTTCCGTAAAAGCAAATTTACGGATATCCTCTACTTGCCGCTTCAAACCAAATAAAAGTTAACCCAAAATTAGCCTATTAGGGAGTTCTCTGAAATTCAGAGTTCCTTCATAATAGATACATACATTTGTAGTTTAGTCAACCGATAACAAAGGTCCACCCGAAATCTTGGCATCTGAGCTAAAAAACATCTGCTTTAGCATGCCGCTACTATGTCGCTATACAGAGAAAATTTGGATGAAGTTTCCAAAATCACAAAATCGCCGATTAACAATGCCGAGATCTACAATGTCACTGAGTGCCAGGAATTAACCAGCCATTTGCGCTAGGTTTAATTTTGTGATACAATGAAATCCTCAGACATTTATGCATTAGGCGCAGTTCGTGTCTAGAATGCCAATTGTACAGGAGGGAATAGTTATAATAATAACCTGATTCTATGGATGAGCATACTTTAAAAGGATTCATCCCTAATGCCTGGTGAGACAGGAAACACGAGGTCGATCCCACCGGAAGGAGACGGCAGATTCCTCTTGGACAGCTTTCGATTGGCTTTACTGGAGTATTCTTGTTGAGGCTGTTTCAGAAGTAATCTCCTGCGATTTCTGTGAAAAAGTCCTAGGTTTTCGCTTGTCGTATAACGTACATCACCAAAGCAGAATATCACTCTTACCACTATATTTAAGTAAACGAGTCAAGTTTTCTTGAATATACTTGTAAGGATGATACCTTGTTCTGGTGATGTTAGTCATACGACGAACGAAATCTTAGCACGTTTAAGCCTAGTCGAGGTCGAGACTACAGCCCAGCCTTGATGAGAATAGCTGGGAAAGCAAGGCTATGTGAAATTTAATGGAAGGATCAGCTCTAATCATATAATTGTGGGAAAATAGGATGAATACACATAAAATTACAAATCAAGATATGCATCTCCCAATTCACATTTTTTATAGAGGGATTGTCGCTTAAACAAACATATATTTATTTTTCGTATTTGAAGTGAAGTTTCGAGACTACCAGTAAATTAGTAATATGAAATGTATTCACTCA